TACTCTAAGACATGAAGTTACTAGACCTGCACTGAATAAAAAATAGGAAAACAGGAGATAAATATAATTAAGCATTTTGTCCATTCTCAGACATCTAAGAAAGTCTGAGTCTCTATTAATAGACTTGAAATTTTTCAAGAGTGACCTGCTTTAAGTAAAACAAAACTGAATTACATTTCAAGTAAGGTGATACAATTAATACTTTTCCCAATTCCAATGTAGCTATACAGTGTTTAAAAATGTTACGCAATTTTGTAGATATTAATATTTGCTTCTATGACAGAATTCTATTGATTGAGTTCAGTGTTTGGAACTCAAACTAATTCTTCTAGATGTCTACTCATAAGAGCAGTCAACATAAGCTAAAAAGATAACTAACCAGTACAGTCACTCAGCATGACCAGTGAGACTGGGGTGTAACTCACAATGAGTATTTCTGTTAGAAATTGCCTTCCTTGATTTCCATCCACTGTGAAGACAGTTTTTAAAGGATGTCCTCTTGCTTATGGGGTACTGTATATGGAGAAATAACTGTTAACCAACAGCTTTTGTTAAGCCTAAAAATATTCCACAAATTCCTAAATTTTCAGCTAAAAAGGTCATTCTCCCCGTGCATTGAACCTATTTGAAACTAAAATAAATCTACCATGGAACTTGGCATTACTGTTCATGCTCATGTTTCAGAACATAGCTGTACCACACAGCATGGTTTCAAGAACCATACATAAGAAGTATTATTTATGATATTTGAGATGTTCCCCCAAAACCCCTATCTGAAAGAGTTTCTTCTCTTCCCTGTAGTGCACTTAGAAGGTAATAGCAAAATAACAGAACAAGTAATCATGAACATTTAAACTGTATTTTTTTGTATTCTAAAACAAATCTGTGAATATTTAATGTACCTCTACTCTTTTAGTCACAAAGGTAACACCTTCAGGGTGTGGGGGAATGGAAAGCAGAAAAAAAGTATTTTTAAAAGGCAAGGATTTTAATAGGTATGTTTCTCATCAAGACTGGTGGTTTTGGTTTATTAATTCACTGCATAATATGATGCCTAGAACTAGTTTAAGTTTACAGTATGTCTGCCACAAATTGGACAAGTGGTCTGCTATCATGCACTCTAGTCATGTCATTACATTTGGTAGTTTTGGGGTTTGCCAGTAACTGATGACAAGGTTAGTAGTTGGTTATTGTGTATTATGAGGTCTCATATATAAAACCTGATCATGAGCAGCTTTAATGCATAGCAGAATATTTTTACTTTTCTGTACCTTTCTAAAGATGAATAATTACTGCACAGTACAGCATGGCCTTAGGTTATGCTGTGATTAATTCAGAGTAACCCATTGTCTTTGTTAGAGCTCTTCTATCATTCCCCATTGTAATTTAATTCAAAATACAATACTGAAGTTGTGCAACTTCCATTCCACTTGGACAGTGTTACATGTAGGCTAGGGGTTGTTTTGCCCTTCCTGTCTTCTACAAAAACTTGCCTCCTTGTATAATTCTGATTTGTGAGGGCCATCAATATGTGGCAAACTCATTATCTTAAACTGGCAATAAAAGACCATGGTATGTGTTCACTTTTTAAAATGTTCTCTATTTATTCAAAGTGCAGAATCTGACCTATAATTTAAAGTATAATTTAAATCTTAATTAGGTCAGAGTGTGCTTACTACGTCTTCAAATGTTGATTCAAAACATGAAAGAGGAAATTAGATGGGTGGGCCAGTACATACAGTGCCTGTGGGTTCCCAGTGGCAGTGGGAGGCTCCAGCATAAAATGGGTTTTGCCAGATGTGCAGCATCCAGGGAGGCTTTGGTTGAGAGAGAAAGAAAATGAATGCAATTGGAGATCTGTCCCTGATATCTAAAAGTGCTATTTAAAAGTCTTCTAGAACACTCTAGAACAAACTTGGAAAATAATCCAGCAGAAACCATTTGGAAGGAAATGTAGTTCTGAAAGTTCTCTCCATTTCAGGCCATGTTTGGGCAGTGTTCTGTGTAACAAAGATGAAACAAACCTGCTTCTCACCGAGCATTCAAAGCCTAAAGACTTGAAGGCTGCAGTCAGTTCAAGTGCTGTGTGAGACTGAAATAACACCCTCCCAGCGTCAGGTTTTCCATTCTTGACGCACCAGGTGAATGGGTTGTTTTGTGGAGCGTTTACACTGTGGTGGCAGGGCCGGCCAGAGGAAGGGAGGGTGAGAGCCCTGCGAGCGCTGAGTCAATGCCCGGCGTTGTTGGGTGTCTGTCAGTACTTGGAGCCCTCGGGTCGCTGCCTCGGTGCTGCCAAGGATTAGCTCAGTGCACTGCTCTGGCAGCCCATCCTCACAACATGCTTTTCACCAAGAGAGAGAATAACTTCATTTTAAAAGGAACAAAATTCTTTAAGGGCAATTATTTCGATAGCCATTTCAACACTCACCCGGAATGTCTGTAACTTCCCAAATAGCTTTCTAGTCTGTGTATTTAAACCAAACGTTGTAGTTTTATCTGTATTTCTTGATTATGTTTTATTGATTTCTTTCAACACTTATTTTTCTTTTTAAGTTGCAGACAAGTGTTTACATTCTTCTGATTTTAAAAGGCCATTACAATCTCAAATGTATCTTTTCAGTTGAGTTTGGTGAAACAAAAACACTATGGACTGAAGTGCATTCACTTAAACAGCCTTAAAATAACAAAGTGGCTTGCTCATGTCCGTTACTTCAAGTGTTTATGTAACTACATTGTATTTACTTTTCTGTTACATATGAGCAACTAATTACTGTAGCACCTCTGCTTCTCGGAGTATTTATCTTTTTGTAGCCACCAGCAACTTTAAATACAAACCAAAAAAAGCAGGATGCTCTGTAGGCTGCACAGGACTCAGATAAACTCTATTTTAAAAAAAACAAACAACAAAACTAACCCATCTGTCTTTCCTATCTACCATCCAGAGTGAGAATTGCTTTTTCTTACTAATCAAGGGGTTGACTGTCCTCATTGTATTCTGATTCCAAGTTGCCTGTAGTGCAAAGAGACACAGAGGTGGGGACTGGGGCATGAAGAGGGATTCCTGAAAAGTCAGGAGAGATGCATGTTTTTCTTCCTCAACTGCCTGTTTCCCCATAAACAATAATGCAGGTCCACATTTTACATTATTTCGTGAAATGTCTGCTGTGTAATACTGCTTCACAAAACAGGAGATGAGGTTCTCTTTTCAAATAAATTAAAATGTAGAGATGTCATAACTTGAGAATGACAGGCAAGGAGGGGGAAGGATGAATACCTAGGCACTATGGGAATGCATCTCCATTGTCTGGGAAGGCTACCAAAACATTAGGATGCACGATGGGGAGACAGGTTTTGATGGCTGGGGAGATTTTGAGAAAAGAGAAGATGAGAAAGTTCTCATTAAAAGTTATGCCATTCCTTTTATTTAGCCTCTTTTTTTTTTTTTTTTTTTTTTTAATTATCTGCACCTCTTGGGAGCTGTTATTGTGCACCTGAAGGATGTGAAGCATTACAGGATGATAAGGCTTTGCTGACTAACTCAGAAACGTAGATGGTAGAAAACAAGATTTGCAAAGCAGCAAAGTGTGGAACAGTTAATGCAGCTTTTTCTCTTTTTTCCCTTTGATGAAAGGAAACAGAGAATTACATAAGATAACAAATAGGAGGGGACATGCAGAGCAGCCCCTTGCAGTGACTTCACCAGGGATATGTAATCAGAATTCCAGAATTGTGTGTAGCTTGGTAAGGCACTACCACAGGTTTAATACTGTGAGCACCTGTACAGCAAATGCTCCACAGTAGGATAACTGCAAGGTTGACTAGAATAGATCAGTTCCTGGAGGAGGCATGCCAGTGTGCCAGCCATGGAACTGACCCTGTTGTTCTTGCCATTGAAATGGAATGACAGTAAACCACCTCTCTAGTTGAGACTTTCAGATGCCTACACGTCAGGAATCTTATCATGGACCCAGCACTTCCAGGTTCTTTTGTAACAACTCCTGGTTGGGATCTGGCAATGGTCTACAAGGTCTAATTTGGATGAAGTCAAACTGGGCAGTTCAGGACACTTCCAACTGCTTTTCTCAGCAATATGTTGCAATCTCCTAGACAAGACTGGCACACACTCGGTGTGTCAGTGCCAGCACAAAGAAGGGAGCAGGGATGATGTGGCCGTCTGTACCCAGAGCAGGGTGGTGTGGCTGGCTGCAGGCAGGGCAGGGCCACAACAGGCACAGTTTACATTGGTTTGCACCCACATCCACACCCAAAAGCACTGAGGTGTTTTTCCTCCATAATCCTCCTCAAGCAAAATGAAGCAGTTCAGCTTTTAACTGCTGGTGGTGAAAAGGAAGCTGTGTAACTTTGTGCTGGAAAACAGCAGAGCATAATAGGAGTATTTAGGAACTGTTAGGAGGATGCTGAGAAATCTGCTCCTCCTTGGCTGTTAATACTGTACAGCCAGGCTGTAATCCCTGGCAAAACAGCATGGGAAATAAACCAGCAGAAACATGAGATCTGTTTCAGCAGGTGTGCTGTGAACGAATGTGAAAGGTTACTTTCTTAATTCTGAAGGTGTGGTTAGTTAATAAACATTAAGATTTAACTTTCAGACTAAAAATGGATAGCAGCTATTTGGATTGTAACAACTATCTCTAGTTCTTGTGTGCTATTCTCTGACTTGGCAAGCGAAGAGGCTGTTACTAAATCAATACAAGCTATTCTGAGAGAAGGAAGTATTTATTTTGTCTGGCACTCCATGTCCCTTTTGCATAATAATGTATGATTAATTATTATAACTTCTGAGTTTCTTGGCTTGTCTGTGGCCAGATCTAGTTAGTTATTTAAACTGCTGTGATGAGCAGGAGCAAGACATTTCCCATTCCTCTTAAAGACCTTCTAGTTAATAAATATATTGGTTAAATATATTTTATTACTGCAGTTTGTTAACTAACTTCAGAACTCTATGAAAGAAACAAATATGTTTATATGTTTATCCACAGGCCAAGTTCTCATCGAAATCTCAAGAACACACAAGAAACTTAATGACAGTCTAGAGGAGAGTGTAAGTTACACAATTTTAGAAGAATATTTCCTTTTGCAATTATTACTTTTGCCAGTTTTTAATATCCCTCCATTTGTTTGTTTTTAAAGTTCAAAAAATTCCATAAAGAAATTATATCTGAACTGGAAAAGAAAACAGACCTGGATGTAAAGTATATGAATGTAAGTACATTCGATTCGAAAAGTCACATTTTATTGATCTATTGCTAGTCAAACAATTTTTCAGAAATTGTTCCTTAACAGTTAATTGATATGTTAAATTGAGCTTTAGATATATACACATGGCAAAAATGTTCATGCTTATTTTGAGCTAAAAAGGAAATGAATGTATGACTTAGTAGCATTTTTTAACTAAAGTTGAGAGAAGCAATTGTGCAAGTCATTTGATGTGTACCAGTGATATTTCATCCATTATGGTAATGCTTTTTAGTCACTTACCCAGTGACACTGCTGACTGCATTAGGAGAGGTTTTAAATGCTTTCATTGCAGGCAACTTTAAAGAGGTACCAAACTGAACACAGAAGCAAATTAGATTCCTTAGAGAAGTCACAGGCTGAGCTGAAAAAAATCAGAAGGAAAAGCCAAGGAGCACGAAATGTAATGAAATACGAGCATAAAGAAATGGAGGTGAGTGTAATGCCTGTTAAGTTATTCATTTTTTGTATGAGAACTGATCAATGAAATGTTAAGCTATTACGGATCACATCTGAGTCTGTTTTAAAACTTGACTTCTGAAGTTTACCACCTATTTTGTATATGCAATGTTATTAGCTAATACATGTAGTTCAGCTGTACATTTTTGGGCAACAGTTAAATTCTACAGTTTCAAAGAACATGCATTTTTGGTTCCTCAAAGTTGTTTTATATTAAAGACATTCCTAGAGTATGTATTCCAGTTGAAATTAAGCTCTGTAATGCTCTCCTGTACATATTCATAGCCTTCTGCTTCAGTTTCTAGCTTCATCCCGTGACCATTACTTGGTTAATTCTTTTTAATTTATTTTTTTAAGTACCTCTGTAACTACACTTCTATGCAGAGGTTTACACAGGGAGCCAGCCATGCTATGCAAATTCAGTAGTAATTTGCTATGAATTATTTTCCCAAAATAGGCAAATACCAACATCTCTTAACACTTTTTATAACCTTTTCTACTGATCTTAAGACAGCATTGCCATCTTGAGGCCGAGTAAGAAATGACAAGGCAATGAAGAGAAACTTTTAACTACATATTCTGCTTGTATCTCAGAAAATACTTTTATTTTTATTTGGCACAGTAGTTTTATTTCATGGTAGCATATATCTTTTTTTTCCTCCAAATTTTCCTGTTTGAATTTCCTTTTGAAATAAAGCTTTGTTCATAACAAAGTACAGTAAGCATAAATCGTACTAGCTCCTATTTCTTCCTACCTATTTAACATGCACTCATAACAGATATTGGACTGAGAATTCAAGGATTAGCATTTATCCACAGTTTAGCCATCAATCCTTATAACCTCAGACAAATATAGTTTAGTCTTAGTAACTCATTTTCCCCTCTCTACAATGAAGCAGATTCATCATAGCTTTGTGAGAGTGAATGTAACTGCTACGGAGGAGGTGAAAGTAATTAGTCTAATTTTTTAGTGGTCAGCAGAGTTGTTGCTTTGCTGTCATATTCTTATTTACTGCAGCATTTTATTTAGAGGCTAAGGGACTGTTTTGTCTTTTTCCTCATTTCCCCCCATCATCCTCAGACTGTTGATTGCCTTTAATGAGAGTGCACATTTACCTGATGAGATTAGGGTAAGTAGGTGAGTGCATGAAAAGAGAGAGACTTGAAAGTAGAGCCACCCTACCCCACCCTCCTTTCCAAAAACTGTTTCCAAGGCTTTTGGAGTTTGCTTCAGTGATTGGGTTTAGTACCAACTAAAACTCAGAGAATGCATGTGATTATTTTTTCTTGTTTTCCTTAGTATTTGGAAACCGTGAGCTCTCGACAGTCTGATATTCAGAGGTTTATTGCAGAAGGCTGCAGAGAAGCTCTCCTTGAAGAAAAAAGAAGGTTTTGTTTTCTGGTTGACAAGCACTGCAGCTTTACCCAGCACATGCATTTCTATCACATGCAGGTCAGTGGCATGAGTGTAAACAGAAATGAAACTCCTCACATCTAATTATATAGGAGATCTTAAGTATCTCTTTCACTATGAATATGAGGCTGCCATAAATAGCTAAAAAAGGCCATAGTGCCAAACAAGACTTGTGATCAGTTCACAGAAGATGTTTACAAGGCAGTATTCTCTTAAATGTCTTGTAGCAACAATAGTTACTGTGATTTTTTTAAAATCATTTATTAAGAAAAAAATGTATGGCCAGTATCTGGCCCTGAAAAAAGGACTATCTCATTATTTGTTTCAAAGAGTTATCTCTTTTTAAAATCCCTGAAAATACTTCTCTTTTGCTTGTGTTCTTATTTTGGTATAATGAAAATTAACAAGTATTTCTGAGCAATTTTATGAAAAAGCATTCTCTTTGACAAGTTCCTTTTAAACTTGGTTGCAGTGTGCGGAATTCCTAAAATCCAAGCTGCCTGGGTGGCAGGAAATATGCAGTGATGCCACCAAAGTGCCTGAAAAAGTCAGAATGATGATAGATGAAATAAGGACACCTGGTTCCACTCCAGTGTCAGGAACCCCCCAGCCTTCACCCATGATAGAGAGAAATACCCTGGTACGTTCATTGATGGTTAAGGTTCTCTCTTGTAAAGGGGAGCAGGGAGGGTTCACTAGCTCCTTTTGTACCTATTTGGGATCCAACCTATAATGCACCTATTGGAAAATACTGGGGTTGGGTATGAAAGCAGAATCATTAAGCTGAACCTCTGCAACTGGAAAAATACAGTGTAGTAGGCAGAAGCGCATATCCAGACAAGGCTTGGGTTTTGGGTGCCTAGGACTTTTTCTGCAGAGCCCAGCCTCATGACTGTGTTTTAACCATTCCATCTCCTACCTTCCTTCTTATCCGTAAGTTTACATACTCAGTATTTCAATATAAATGTAAAACAAAATGTCATTTTCTATTTTCTCTCCTACTTCCCTCCATGATTCTTATTAGCATACTAGAATACAGGTTAAATCTAAATTCTACCTATTTGTGTGTAGGTTGTGTCACCTACATTTAGTTGTTGAATTTTTAAATTAGATTTGTAAACTTCAAAAAAACTCTGGATATTACCTAGGTGTAACTGCAATTTGAGGAAAAAAAGGCTATGAGAGTATTCCCCACTCACAAATGTTTATCAAGGGATAGAAGAAGCCTCTTACAAACTGCTTTATCAGCAATTTCATAGGAACATGAGGACTTGCTGATGGGCCTAAATACATATTATTTGGGAATGTTTAAGCATTGCTTTCTGGAATTTCATGTTGAAAATAGGTTGTCACTGTCTCCTCAGTATTGTGATTCTGTTAATTTGTGATTCTAGATCGGAAATGATTTTTATCACCATCATGAAACTGCATCCAAGGTGCCCCCTGCTCCTGAGGGCAGGGCATACACCAGCCCTCTTGTTGATATGTTTAACAATCCCACCACGGTTCTGAAGAGCTCTTCTGAAAAACTAAACCATTCAGCAGGTGAGTGTCACTTTGCAAGCTATTTAAGTGTAAATTACATACTGTAGTGTTAAAAATGATCTTAGGACTTCTTGAATACTATGATGATCTACATTCCAGGACATACAGAGGAGTAGAAAAATATCTTTATAAGGCTTTTCTAAGGAAGGGTTTTTTGCAGTAAAATTCATGCCAAGCTATAGGTACATTCTATTTTAATCACTTTCTGATTAACCCAGCTTAACTGTTCTTGTGATTTCCCATCTTATCAGAAGAATGGACTCTGTAATTTTGAAAAAGATACATCTGAGTTATTTGTTTCAGTGCACACAAATAAACTACTATTACTGGCTGGCTTTAAAGGCATGTAGCACTTGGGGAAGAATGCACATGGGACAAAATGAGCACAGTCTTGCATTTCTTTCCTGAATTGTAAAATCCTATCCAGATTTGTTTTCTAAGTTCTAATATAGATAAATTTGTACTTTCTCTGCTATAGAGAAGGAAGGGAAAGAACTAACTCTAGATCACAACATAAGAAATGCAGAAACTCTTCAATCTGATAATAACAATTCAAGCATTACTTCCTTAAAAATGCATTCACAATATCTTGTACTGGTCAAATAATGTAAAAGGTTGATATCTCCTTTACGTTGTCTTCTGGTAAACATCTGGTGTCTGCAAAGTTCCAAGTGTCTGCAACACTCATGTGTCCAGCTGAGTGCTGGGCACATTTGAAAATGAAATGTTGGACTTCATACACAGTTACCTTTTTTTAGAATAGAAAATTTTCAGAGGTCTTTTACAGCTGTGAATGTTTAGCATTTCTCATGGCAAAAGAGGAAAGAAATTGCAAGATAAAACCTACATAGCTTTTAAAGTCTGCCAGCTTTACTGTGATGAGACGTGTCTATGTATATAAATGCACATGCTAGAACTTCATGGTGATAAGAAACACTGCAGATAATTGAGAGGTGTCTAAGTGCAAACCAAGCAGTACAAAGTCTCAGAACTTCATTTGCACCTCAATGTTCCTTGATCTACTTTATTTTTTCCTGTCAGACTAATAATTGCATTTACTTTTGTTAGCTTGTGGCTAATTTTACTTTTCTATCTGCTTTGTTTTTCTTTTTTCGATAGAAAATTCAGATGATGCCAGTTTGTTGCGTTCCACTTCTGTCGCCACGGGGCTAAATATAATGAAAAGGCAAAAAGTCAAGACAATCTTCCCACATACTGCTGGAAGTAACAAGACGTTGCTCAGTTTTGCACAGGGGGATATCATCACACTTCTGGTAGCTGAGGAGAAGGATGGTTGGCTTTACGGGGAGCACGACTCAACTAAAGTGTAAGATAATCAGTATGTGACCCAATTTGAACAGGAAGGAAAAATAAAGTCTCATCAGCTTTTGTTAGCAGATACTAGTACATGCTTTTCCACCATGTTTGCTTGCAATCACTGACTAGGGACCTGCAGTCTTTCTGTAAGGTGCATCACTGCACTCATTTTAGGGAGATTTTGTACACTAATTAGGTGTAATCAGAAACTGGGTCTTTAAAAGTTAAATCTCAGTTCATTAAGGCTACTTTTTGTCCACTGTTGTCTTTTGAAAGATCTTTCCAATTTTATACGAAACTGAAAAACTTTCTCATTACAGAAGAGGATGGTTTCCATCATCATATACTAGACCACTAGAAGAACCAGAAGAAAAAGCATTTGCCCCAGTGCCAAGGTAACATTTTGTGTGGGACTTTCAGAAATGCCCACATCTTCCCTAACATTTATTAAAAATGTTATTTTTCTGCTCATGTTCTTTGTTAATCAGTAATGTATAAAGTAACTGCTTTCTAACTGTCTGTAGCATGATGCCTTGATTACATTAACATGTTTTACTGGTTGCACAAAGACCCAAGAACTAGCTTTAACCCAGCTTTAACTGGGGTCCCACTGACTTCAGTGGGATTGCACCTTTTATTAACTTCCAGCTCATGCACTTTTGTGCCTTCCTGGGACTAAAGGTAAGTGAGAAATACATATTGGAGGAACTGAAAATGCTATTTGTTGGGTTCTGTCTTGCAGCCCTGCACCAATCCGAAGTGTTAGTTCTGTAAATCTTGTGGAAAAAGGTGAAGTTGTCCTCCCACCACCTGACTACCTGGGGTCTTTGCAAACAGATAAAAGAACTGAGTCTTCCAGAGATACTACTGCTAAAACACCAAGTGACAGACCAGACAATGCAGGGCTGGTGAGTAATCAACACCATGAATCCACAAGTTCTGCCTTGCTTACTTCTCTTGACCTACTTAGCTGAGCTCTTAAATGAGGCCCTAGAATGTTCTTCTTGAGCTGCTTGTACTGGACTTCAGCAGCCCTTCCATGCAGGTCTCTTCAGCAGTACCATGGGGCTTTGGCATTTCAGTCCACCTGTAGCAATAGGAAGGGAGAAGGGTTGTTCAGGGATGTCACCAAGAGTACTAGGAGACTTTCTCTGCATAGCAAACTTCTTGGGAATGTACTCTATGAAACAGGAAGAGAAATTCTCACAGAAAGTAGTAAGAATCCCTCATCTTAAGTGATTCTAGTGCTACAATGGGACATGAAACAGCATAAACTCACTCTGTATTCAGAGATGCTCGACACAGCCCCATAAAGGTTAGGGTGGTTTTGTGTGAATGTTGCTGAGACATATTTGTATAATGTCAATATTCAGCAAAGCCACAGCTGAGTGGAAATATATTTTTATTAATAGATAATACTATATAAAGCTAGTATTTCTGCTGTTAAGTCAGCTGTTAAGGCTCCTGCTAGGATGTCACATTTATCTACAGCATTTTTTACGTAGAGGTATTAGGCTTTGGAGGAGTGAACAGGTCTTTTTTTATTTTGACAACTGAAGGAATTGTGTTTAAATAAGTAAAAATAGAAACATTTGCTTAATGATAATAAAAATATGACCAACTTCCAATACATCTACAGGTTTTTTTCTAGAACTCTAGAAAAAACAAACTACCATTGGAAAGACACAAGCATGACACAATTTACATCAATTGCCAGTAACATCTGATTTTTAAACTATTATCTGCATTTCAGACGCATGAAGAGAGTATTTTAACAAATGGCAGGAAAGGAAATTATATTCATTTTCTTTCTTGAGTAAATAGTGTATCTTCAAAGGAATCATTTTTGTAATCACTTCATAGACTTTGTATCTAGTTCTTAAAAGAACAGGTCACTTCAACTTCACAAATAAAAAGGATGGGAAAAATTGCTGGAGGTTCAGCTGTACAAGCCTTTCAGAAACATCCCCTTCAGTTGTGCTGGGCTTTGTAAGGATTCTGTACAGCTATTTCAGAAGAGCAGCCATAGATACAACACAGAGACACTTCTAACTGCTGTCAAAATATCTCTTGCAGATGCAGAAATTGCAACAAAAGAATTATTTTTTCTCTCTCAGGGAGGGGAGAAAAGGCTCATGCTTCCCATTACAGAAAATCTGTGTTTCCTTTAAATGCAGTAAGAACTAGGAGAGTGAAGAGTCTTTCATAACAAAAAGGATGCAAGTTGCTTGACAGGAGACTTGTGAAGCTCTCCTCTCAGATCTTAACCCAGTTAGACTAAACTAGTTTAAGGTATCTTTTTATTCTAAATATTTATATTAAAAGATAAGCTGTGGGGTTTTTTTGTAGGTATTTGTTGGTTTTTTTTGTCAGAACAATCTAGTATTAGCATCTATATATTTGAATATAGCATAGGTGAACCCACATTCAAGTAAGTGGTTTTGTTCCTCAGTAATGAACCTTGTTGTGAAGGAAGTTTATAATTTATGCAGTGATGTCATGTTTCTAGGACAACATTTTTTTCTATGAGGAATAAAACTTCACCAGCACATGAAATTAATATTGATAAATAAGACCTAAATTTTAGTGTTCAGTCACTTTCAAATAAAATATCTAGGAACTTCTAAAATTATTATGAAGATGACACATTTGTGGTTTTCATTTTTGGAGAAAGAAGCAATGAGCCTTAACAATTATGCAATGTCAGAGTTATCTATTGGTTCATTTATCCTCTGGCTGTCGAGACCTATGGGCTCAACATGTCCTTCAAACGTAATTACGTGCACAACGGTTAAAAGATGTATCAGCCTGTGGAAGTTGCCAAGCAAGCAGCACAGTGAGATCTTTGCCCTGTGACAAGAAAAAGGTGACCTAAAATTACTGAATCTGTTAAATTGTCCCAGTATCACTGTACAGTGCTGCTGTTTTCAGTCTCGCTAACTGTCCTCAGTTGGTCCTCAAGAGTAGGTCACCTTAAGGGTTGTTTTGTTTGTTCTGATGCATTAGTTCAGGGGCTTTAGGAATAAATTCAAGGCTTGTGTGCTAACATTTGTGTTGAGCTGAAAAACCAAGAGGAATGGCAGATAATTTAGCCCACAGACCTAGAACAGAATTGTGATTGTAACACTATTTTTTGGAGGCCAGAATAGGCTTATAAACAAATACATAGTTTCTGAGATTCTAATTTCCACAATGAAAAGCAATATTAAAAAAAATAAAGAATTCTGGAGTATAAAGACTAGTCTTCTGGAGGTACCCTACAACTCATAGCAGATACCTTTTTAGTGTGATCTCATGATTCTTCTTACCTGTTAGCATTCAAAATAAGGAGAACCATAGAGGAGAGTTGCTGCACCCAAGTATTTTGCTCCAATGTATTGACTTTCATTCTTGTGGGAAGTTGCAAAGCTTCCTTCTCTTTCCCACTGCTGTGCCTGTCACCAGCCCCCACACCACTGTAAGGCTTTGGAAATAAGCTCAACATTGCACCAGGCTGGTTTGTAGACTTGTACAGAATTTACATACATGTAGAACAGAAAGCCTACAGTGTCTTTTATGCAGAAGCAGGAAATGATTCATTGAGGCATCTTATTTTTGTTTCAGAATACAAAAGAAAAAAAGTTCAGGATTTCAAGAGGAAAACTGGAGGAATAGTTCTTGCAAGTTAAATTGTTCATGCTGATCATGCAGGACAGTACTGTGCAGAGCAATATCAACTTAAAAAGACTTAATAGTTGATGGAGCTTTGATAAGGGTTGTTTTCAGTAAGAAGTAGCATGTAATTCAGGCAGTCGTTCATTCTAATTACTTTTAAGGACTAATTAAGCCTAATTCTAAGGTTTAGTTCTATTTATGACTGATGTACATGAGCAATTTCATTGGAATCACAAGCACATGCTTAAGAACCCTTCTGAATTAGGTTCTAAATAAAGAGCTTCTTCACCTCTCTCATGGTATTGTGAATACAGTAGCTAGGAACTACTGGTACAATAAACAGTGCACCTGTGAAGGAAAAGCTTGGGCCTTTGTACAGCACTGGGATTTTGCGTATTGCAAACAAAATACCCACACAGACTGAACAACTAGTACAAGTCCAGCTGCTACGAAAGAAAGGACTGCACATTTCTGCTTCTCTGTGCAAGAAAATTTTGACTTTGAACTTTGACACCTACTGGAAGCAATGCAACTAGTTTGCAGCTTGAAATATGTAATTTTAAAGTATGATTATTACTAAAAGTTGGAGGCAGAAAAGAAATAAAGTAGTAATTAACTGTTTGCCAAAACTCCCATAGAGGGTAGTGGGCCTTCAAAGGGTAACACACTGCAAGGGTTTCCCATTTCATGACACCTGAAGCCCTGCACCCTGTAGCAGCCCTGTGACAGGGACACTGCCATCACCTGGGGTAGCTGAACTTCAGAAGAATGAAGCACCTAACACGAGGCTCTTT